CCGATAAAAAATCAGAGTGGTGGAGGGAAAGGGGCAGATACTGAGAGTCAGTGCTGCGGTTACAGGATCTGCATGTTTAAATAGTGGCAGTTGCAGCCAAGATCATGCTTAACCAGGTCTTTTGAATGAAAGCTGGGGCCTATGGTACCGTTCTGATTCAAATTGCAAAAAGTGTTATTTTTAACAAAGCACCTCCTGCGATGTTTCTCGCTCGACCTGCATCTCAGCACTGTAGCACAGATGCTACTGGTGCAGTTATACCCACAACATTCAGGAATAACAGGATTTCGTAAATTATGGCAAGATTAAGTAGACAAAGTTGGTACTGACTTGCCGATGACAACGCATGTGTAACATTCTTCCAGCTCACTTTTCTGGTTATTCCCTTTTGCATGATGAACTGGAATGATGTTTATATATAACATAACACACTGTATTGTGTTTATATATATATTACATAATATATAAATATCGTTCCATGTTTTATATATACATTATATATATTTTATATATAGGTTTCACCTTGGCCTTCTCATGATTTGTCTTCTCCTTTTTGTCGTTCTGCTTTTTCACAGTGTAAATGTAAAAGCACAAATCCAGCACAGTTTCCTATCTCCTTTTAAAATCTTTAAATAGCCTTTTCTTGCTGTCATGCAGCACATCTTAGCAGAAGTTATTTGGTGTTAACAGCACTCAAGGTACTCTAACAAAGAAATCAGTGACTGTAATAGCTTCTATTAAACCTGGTACTGTGTTTTGGTAAATGTATCTCCCTTTCCTTTGCATCTGTGACTAAAAGGTGCTTTGAGGAGGAGGACAATGTGTGCTTTTTATAGAGCCATGCAGGGTATGGATTCATTTTGTTGGGTTTTTCCTTAACCGTCTTTCCCAAAGTCTGCTTTAGGGTGACTGTTTATGTAAAGTCTAGTGTTTCCTAGTGCTATATTTTCAGACTTTATGCAGATGAAATGCTTGTGGTCACTGTCACTGGTTCACCACATGAAGGATGCCTAATAGCATGGGAGCTGTGTTGTCAGGGGGAGGAGCTCGTCCAGGAAACTTTTGGAAAATCTGTCTTGTTTAAAACAAACAAACAAAACTCTAGCAACATCTTTTACATGACTGTAACCATGTGTGGTATGTGCACTCCCTCCCTTCTCCTTGTCTCCAGTGTATATATAACTTGCATTCAGCCAGTGCTGTGGAGTCTGTGCACTCCAACTTGCAGCAGGGAGCCAGCAATCCATTTTCTGTGACTCTCCCCTGCCTGTAATCTAAGAAGGCAAGAATTGTTTCTATGCAGTTTATGGAGGTTGGGGAGGGTCTTTGTGTGGTTTTAACACAAACTAAAAAAAAACAAAACAAAAAAAAAAAAAAAAAAAAAAAAAAAAAAAAAAAAAAAAAAAAAAAAAAAAAAGCTTTCTATTTTCACTGTCTTGCAAGGCATCCTAGAGAAACTGGAATCCTTTCCCACAAGGGAAAATCTGAGTACAGTACGTATGGTTTATATGGCCAGGGATTGATTACAGGATGTACCTGTCTGTAGCAGGTTATCGAGCAAAACTCAGCAGATCTGGAACTGAAGCAGGCTGCTTCCTGCGTCCAGGAGATTTTGCAGACCATTAATTTATCCCTCTAATCAGCTGGAAATTTCAGAGGTGCTTAAAAGAGTTGCCTCTTGGGCACCCTTGGAAATACCAGTTAACTTCGTTATGCTTTTTATGTTGAGTCTAATCTGTGCTTGCAGATTGATCTTTTTCTCATGATGGAAGTGCAGTAGTAGTAGTAATTGCTGTTGCATCTTTGATAGGAATCATGCAACATGAATCAAATAGTATAACTCATTTAAAATAACATTAAATATATACAGTGATCCTAAGGAATGCATGCTCAGTTCTGCTTAGGCTGTCTGTCTTGTCCTGCTTATCTTCTGTAGAGGTATAATTCTCATAGGCTTAAATCCTGTGCTAATGTGTCTCACTCCTAAATAGGACTACCTGATACAATTTGAGTTTATCCTGTTGGTTGGAAAGAGGTTAATTAAGGGAACAATTAGAAAAGCTCATTAAAACTGCATTCAGGTTCAGTGTAATGAAAAGTGCATTTCCTGTGACAAGATGATTCCAAAATCGTGCTCTTTTGATTTCCCCCTGACACGGTTCCCCAGCACTAGTCCGTGTGTGCTGGTTTGAAGCAGTGTCTTGGGCTGTGCTGCTGTCCTTGTTTGCATTACTGTGGTGGTTGTGATAGAGACTGGAACAATAACCTTAATCCCAGGCACCTTCTCACCCCTGAGGGAAGGGAGGGGTTCTGCAGGAATTTACAATCTGCTTTGCATTGCGTTTCCATTTCTTGGGTCTCAGGTTTTTACAGCAGGGAAAGCATAAATTCGGATAGATTACCCCCACCTTGGCTTTGCAGACAGTGTCAATACTGAAGGCAGCCCAGACCTGGCTGCAGGAGCCTTCTGCAGCTGTGAGCACCCCTGCATAAATCCTTTCTCTAGCTTTTCTGGAACTAGTTCCTCCCAAAATGGCCATGTACGTGCTAGTTTAGCATAGTCTGCGAAAGCCAGTTCTGTGTCCTGGGTTCTGCTTCAGTGGACTGGGATTGTCTGTCTAAAAACAAAATCACAACAGCCAAGGAATTGTTTGCTTGTGTAGTCAGCCCAGCCTCTGTTTCTCGTCCCTGATTCCAGTCTGAGATTGCGAGTAAGTCACGTGGCTGGATTGGACAGTCTGGGGAGGCTCGCAGGGAAAGGCAGTGTTAGATGGGCCTGTTCAGCACTGGGCTGGTTCAGACTTCAAAAGTCAGGTGGACTCATGATTTTGGAAAAATAACAGATTTTCTTGAGATTGCCTGTACTCACAGAATGGTGGGGCGGCCTCTCACAAGGGTTTGGGTGCAGGTATCACCTTTTACCCAATGTTGTTACAGCATCAGTAAGGGTAGCAGAGTTGGGGAGTTTGGCATTAGTGGGTCATTCCTGGGGAAGACTTAAGTGGCAGTGGGATAGAGCTCCTTTCTGGTGTGAGACTGCAGTGGGGGATCTTCTGGCCTCAACTCTGCTGCAAAACTGCCTCAAGGGCTCTGTGCAGCTAGGCCTGTTGATCAGCAGCAAGTTGGGATTGCACTGAATACTGTTGAGCAGAGACTGATTTGTCCTTGACTCAGATGTTGAAAAATGCTGAGCAGTTGGTGTTACAGCAGAGAATTCCATCACTCAAAACAAAATCTCAGCTTTTCCCCGATAAGGACTTGAGAAATGATGAAGCTTTGCACATCCTGGTTTTGAGCCTCAGTCCATGTGATGCCCATTGCAGATGTATGTGCTTTCAGCTTTTTTTTTTTTTTTTCTGTAAGCTAAGCCATGTACCAGTGTGAAGCTTAAAATCCAGAGCAGTGGTTCAACATCCTTGTTTCAGGTTCATCTCAGTAGGGTGGTACCTGCTGCTGGCAGACACTGCAGGGCACGGACACCGCTGCTCTGAACTGTGCCTTCGTGTTGAGTCTGCGGGGAAACCTGTTTAGAAGGGTTAGATAAACACAATTAGGCTGCATTGCCAGCAATGATGTTTTTATTTAATGCATTAATGAGTGCAGGTGGCAGAACCTCTGAAGTGAATTAAATGCAGTGCAAACTCGTGCTGTACTAGCAGAGCCATTGTGAGCCACTGAATGCTGAGCCAGCTCGTTTGAGAGATGAGGTGGGAGACGGGAATGAGCTTCCCATGCCTCAATGATAATTTTGAGCATTACCTTACAGCACAACCAGCTTGTGCCAAAGAACCAAGAGCAAGAGAGTGTGTGTTTTAGAGCTGCATTTCTATCAATAACAGCATTAAGATAAGGTGGTCACAAAAACAGATTTACTTGCTCGTCACCTTATTCTGTTACCTGGTAGGATTCGATAATGCAGTGGTTAAAAGAATTCTGTTCAGCCCTCAGCAGCACTTACAGTGCTAGAACACCACCACCCTCGTTTCCTTCCATAGGCAGGATGCTGGAATCCAGCACAACTGCTGTGCTCTGCTGGCCTTTCCCACAGTGAAACCTGGGGTTTATTTCCTTGAAGCTTGGTATCAGTGAAATGATCCTTGGAAAGCTTGTATTGATTGCTCATGATTGTCTAATTAAAGTGCAGTAACAAGGATTTCAGAACGCTCGCTCTCACAGCCCTGTGCTTTTATTGTAGACACTGTAAATTAGAAAGCTTTCTGTTCAAATGTGGAAAATGTCAGCACTTATTTCCTTTTGAATTTCCCAGCAACTCCTGAAGGCTGCACTTGTAGATGTGTCATTATTTTTTTTCCTAGAAAAGCAATAGGAAAGAAGTGTTACTTAGAGGAGAAATGAGGCCCTGTAGGCTTGCAGGGGCCCTGCTCTGACCCTGCTAGCTGTTACCCATGTTGTCTGAAGGGAAGCACTTCTAAATGAATGTATTTTGCTCTGAAATCTGCTAAGATGATCCTTTTTGAGCATCATGTGCAGAGATGGGTATTAATTATACAATATATAGATGCCAGTCTTTAAATAGTGCTCTCTGGTCTTACCTGGAGGCTGTTTGTTGATCCATCTGGACTTTATGGCTGTTTTGCTCCCTGTTGCTTGTGGTCTCATACTTTCTGGTAACTTGGATCTTCCTGAGATGTGTGCAAGGCAAATCCTAGTCCTCGATACGTACCAGGAACCAAAGAGTTTGTCATCACAGGTCTGCATCTTGCTTAGCCACTGATTGAATTGGTGGCCTTGGGGAAAATCACTGAACTTACCCAAACCTTCTGCTTGCATCTAATCACTGGGTGATCCCTGATTCACTGTGATACATTTACAGAGCTTTAGGAATGATCAGTAATTCTGCCCAGGATGCTGAGCAGAAAGATGCTATAGAGTGTGGTGGACTTTGAATTAATGAATGATTCACCAGTTGCACACAAACCCCCTTTAAATATGTTCGGCCTCGTGTGTGGAACTGACTTTTCCCTTTCTTCCTCTTCCAGATGTACTTTCCGATTCCCCAGCACGGTTATAAAGATCCAGTTCACATCTTTATACCATAAAGAGGAAGTAAAAGAGGAAACCTCATCGCCTCCCCCTCGGCCACTTTACCCTCAAATATCACCTCTGAAGATCCACATCCCGGAGCCGGATCTCCGGAGCGTGGTCAGTCCCCTCCCATCCCCCACAGGCACTATCAGGTAAGTTGTTAATTATCCACAGTGTGTTCTCTGACATCAGTCTGTCAGCCCTGTTTTGTTTGGTATCCTTGGTGCAAGAAAAGCCTCATTGAAAATAACTAGTTAAATACCTGATGTTCAGGATTCTGGGAGACAGCTAAAAACTGTGTTATGGTGGCTGGAAGAAGGGCACAAGGATTGTGCTTAAGAGCTCAAAGGGCTCAAGGGGAAACATAAAGTAGTCTGATATCTATAGTTTCATAGCTATAGAGTTACTAGTCTATCTTTGGAAGTGGAATTAGAAATATTTATTGAGAGCTACCTATATGCATGGAAAAAAGAAAGCAGGCAAATACTTTCTATCTTAGGGCTGCCTGTTTTATTTTTATCTCGGTAATATTCTGTTGTTGCTGGGTGGTGCTGCTTTATCTGAAGTGAGGGACAAGGGTGGCCATTGGCACGTGGTTTCCTGGGAATGGAAGGCAATGGGGGTAGGATGCTGACCATGTACTGAGGGGCTGTAGCAATCTGAACGTGCATCTGTGTCAGTATCCTGTTTTGTACACCATCTGATTTGTGGATGTGCAGTACAAATAACCTGAAAATCAAGCTACTGTCTGGAATATTTTCCTTATTTCTCAGCGAAGAGTTGATGTTACAGAGTTTCAGTGAAATCTTTCAATGTTACATCTTTTACTTGAAGTAGAATAAGTTTTATAAAGTAAAGGAGACTCATGGTATAGGATGATGTATTAGAATTTTAAAACAGGTGGGCATCAGAATAGCAGGAGTGAGCCTGGTAACAGCAATAGCCTTTGGGTTGTTTTCACGTCTGCACGTTTGTAAAAAGGTAAATTACGCAAATCTCTCCTGACAGTTACCACTAATTCAGTGAGTAGTATTCAAATTTAGGTGGCTGAGAGTGACTTCAGTGTCACAATGAAGCCAGTTTGGTTTTGCATAGATCTGGAGGCTCTCACTTGTTTGGGTTTTTCCACGGGTCTTGCAGAGCTGCACAGATGTGCAGTGCAGATATGCTAGAAAGAGGGGGCTGGAGGTAGCTGTGGTTTTAGCCCTCTGTTCAGGCACTGCTTTTAGTTTATATTTAACCTTCTCTTTTTAGATGAAGCTTGTTGCTGGGAGGGGAGGGGGATGGTTCCTTTGCCAACATATGGTAGTTAGTTTCCATTCAGTCATCTTGTGCAGAGCAGCTCGGTGTGGTTTGTGTTACTAACAGAGGCTGTATCTTTTGACTCCGGCATATGCCTGCAACTGATATTTGATTCCCTGAGAATGTTTCTTTTGCATAAGGAGAAAGTGGAAATGGTAGTGTTGAATTGTGCTCAGCCCCTAACGCAGTGTTTACTGAGGATGATTAATGGTTGCATCCGTTTGTCTCGAGCAGAAGCTAATCCAGCCAAGTCTTCAGAAAACCTCAAAAGACATCTGAGGTTTCGCTTGCCAAACCCCTTTCGTTTCCGAGTTCCTCTTACAGAGGAGGGGCTGACACGTTTGTAAACATCCCTGCTCAGCCCTTTCAACCTCCCCCTCTCCCCCAGCAGGGTCTCGCAGCTCTGCCCTGTGGGCCAAGGTTTGGAAAGTCATTTGGGGTGTTTCTGCCTGAGAAAGGGAATGCTCTTTGGGGACAAAGTAGCTCTGCATTCTGGCCCATCTGGCTTTCAGGGCAGCTCTCTGCTGCTTTCTCGGTGGGATCACAGTGGTGGCTGAGGCTGGCACAGTGTCCTCTCTTCCTTCCCAAGGGCAGGTCTGGGAGGGGTGGCGAGGGCTCAGCGTGGGACCTGCACTCCTCTCCCATCGCTGGCTTTGGGAGGTGGTTGCCTGAGCTGGGTTCTCCTCCTCCTTCCTCTCCCCCTTCTAGTATTTACTTTCCTAATTTGGTGAGTTTGCCTTGCTCCTCCCTGATTGGCCCATGGAAAATTATTGCAGTTTGGAAATCCTGGGCAGGGTGAAATTTCCTTTTTGGAAAGTGGCTCCTGGCCCCCTTTTCCTGCCTCCACCCTGGTGCAGGGCAGGGGCTGTACCTGCACTCCAAGATCCAGCTCTGCCCTCCTGACCCCCAACCCTGCTCTGCCTCCCTGTTTACACTGCAACTTGCTTCCCTGCAGGTTCTCCCCTGCAAGCTTCTGGGGTTTTTTTCCAGCCTGTTTATTTTCCCTCTGCAAAGTGCAGCGCCTGGAGAAGGGAATGAGCTTTAGTTAAACAAAACCAAACCTGCCACCCTCAGCAGCTTTGCAAAGCAAGATTCCTGCTTGCTCCTAGGGAGAAATGTGCTCACTGTTTTCACAGCTAGGTATTTTATCTCCAGGAGGGGCTGTGTGTGGATGTGTTTTGAATGCTGTTGTACAGCTTTAAGGGAAAATGTTGGTTGGTAGCATGCTGTGAGAGTTACACACAGGCTGGGCTTATTTCTTCCTGCTTTGAGTTCAAAATGCCTTTTTAAAAAAAGTCAGACTTGCATGTTCCAGAAAGGAACGGGCCACTGTGGTTGTAATAAATTGGTAGAAGCAGCCTGCCATTTTATACAGTAGAGGAGCACCAAATCTCCTCTCAGTAAGTTCAAGGCATTGAAAAGCTGTGTGAAAACCATGAGCAGTTTGGTTAAATTCACCTCTGCCTTTTGAGAGATACAGCATGTCAGGGTCTGCAGCTTGTCTGTGGAGAATCCTCTTTGGATGACACTGATAAGAAGTTTCTCACCTATGCTGCAAACTCTTAGCTTTGCCTGCTTTTGTGATAAATCCACAATATCTGCATGAATGTGACTCCATGTGTGTTGCAATCCAAGCTTGTGCTAGGATTATAAGCAGATCCACAGAGACAAGGTGTGATGTAGGAGCCTATTACTGGTCTTGAAGTCGTGCTGAGTTGGAGATAAGATTTACAGTGTTTAGGTTTCCTTTTATTATTGTCCAGTTTGTGTTAATGGCCCTGTAGTTGTAACTTAACTGTTTTTCAAATGGCATCTCTCTGCAGCACTACCCCTCAGAGTTAGGGTGGTTTTAGTATTTATGAAAATTAAATTCTCTCTCTGTACATGCTTCCCTATTCTAAACAGCAATTGTGATCTCACTGATATAAAGATAGATATGGATATATATGTATAAACTACAGTAAAGAAATACTAAATGCTGTACTGTGGAGGTCAGTGCCATTATTCATATTTTACAACTACAGCTTCTGGCTTATCTCTGCACTGAAATGACTGTGGGCTTGGATACTTTGTCTTGTTTGGGTTTTTTCATGGAAAGGGCATGGATAGTTAGCTCACATACACAGCCTTTATCAGTAAAAAGAATTCTTTGACATGTAGGAGTAAGAGTCGTCAGAGCCCTGTGAGAACCGCTGCTTGGGAAGTGTCTGGTGAGGTTCTGTGCTCTAATAGCTAAGCTGGTACATATTTGTGTGTGGACTCAAATCTGTATTTTAACTGTTAGTACTTAATGTGCCTGCCCATGTCTGACTGTTACTGGAAGGGCTGGTAACTAGTTTTCAATTAAATTAATGGTATGAATAATGAGAGATCAGCATCTTTCATTCTGTAAGCTTGATTAGTAAACCAGAAGATGTGAGTGAATTGCCATGGTTTCATAAGCTACAGTCCCTTTTTTCACCAGGCAAAATTAGTTCAGTAACACGTTACGTGCTCTGATAGCGAATTACTCAGAGGTAGCTGCAATTATCTTGACTTAGCCACCAACTTGTTTTGTGGCCTTTAACAGGTCATTTAAATTCATTGTGTAATTACTGCTTTACAAGTGTGTGTAGTAGATAAATTATGTATTGACCTTCTACTCTGTAAAGCATGACAAGAGTGTGTGTGAGCCATGGTACAGCAGACCTGCTAATGCTGGCTTGTGCTTTGATCCAGACTTGGCCTGGATAAAGGGGGAGCTTTTAAACAGGCTCTGGGATAGCCACGTACCGCTGTTTCAGAACACCTGGGATTTAATGTGAGCTTGCACATTGACTCTAAAGGTGTGCAGTGGGACTCTGAATGAACCCTGCCTTGAGTGGATGCATTCACTCACTGGAATGGGGTGCATAAATATTGCCTGCTCCGTTTCATTCAGTCTTTCCTTCTTCCCAGAGCACCGTGAGCCACTGAACTGAAACGCCGCTCAAGAGCTCCAAGGCAGGTTTTTTTGCAGGCTCTTTTGCATTGTCTCAGTTATATATTACTTCCTGCATTCAGGCAGAATATGCAGCTCAGGCAACTCCCACAGTTGGACAGACCGGTGATTATTTTTAATCACCCCAGTCTCCAAACCACAAGCCAAGGAGTGTGATGCATATACATCGTGTAAGAGAAGCATCAGTCTGTGCTGGGCTTGGGAGCTCTACTCATGTTTATTTCAGATAATGGACCATGTGCTGGAGGAGACGTGCCAAGCCATGTGCTGGAGGAGAGGTTGCAGATGTCACCAGCTACAGGAGCACTTCCTCTTCCCCAGTCAGTATAAAATTTTAGTTCACTGAATCCACAACTGCAGTGAGGTCACTTCCTTTCAGAGAGGGGAACCACTGGAGCACCAACAAGTAACAAGAATTTGAACTTTTGTGGATAGCTCACTTTCTCTCATTGTGGCTTGTTCGACAGCTTTGTTTCTCTTCAGCGTTAAGCAGGCAGGGTAGCTCTCAGATTTCTCATTTCACATCAAAATCCAGCTTGGTTTGGCAGTCTCACCACTTGTGATTATTTCTGAAACCTGTCTGAAACAGGCAACGTGCAAGGACTTGCCTTTCTTTGAGTTACGATTTTGGGGCTAGGCCGGGGAAGGTGAGAGCAGCGGAGGATTCTCACCCGTTCCTGCTGATTGGTGTATCGTGGAAAGGCTTGTTTCGCAAGTCCAAGGGCTGTACTTTGACCTGATTCTTGCTTATTGCACGTAAAAAGCGTCCCTGTATCTTCGTGCCCCTTTTTTTGCAGGCTCAGGAAATGGAATATTGGGGTAGTCTGAGGTTTGTGGCATTTCTCTAACTAGAGTCCTTGAGCAGAGGGC